GGGCGACCAGCCTCGCAGGGGTTTTTTCCCAGGAAAAACAAGACCGTGGAAAAGATATAAATAGGGGGCAACCACCCTCGAAAAAGAGGGGGGGGGTTGTTGGGGGTGACCGGCCCAGAGGGGGGAAAGTTAGTGGCAACCAGGCCGGTGTGGGGGGCTGTTGGGGGCGACTAGGCCAGCAGGGTGGGCAGTTGGGGGTGATCAGGCAGGCAGGCAGGTGAGCAGTTAGGAGCCAGTGGTCTCGGATTGTGAAAGGGCTGTCCGATTGCCGGTTTAGGCTCGATCCTGGGGATCGGGCCTAAACCAGCAGTTGGACACCCCCCGAGGGGTCCCAGATTGGAGAGGGTGCAGACTGCGTTGAAGGGACACCGGGCCTCTAGTATTACCATAAATCACAATGGGAATAAAATTCCACTATAGGAACACTAAAGCCATTCATTACAGTGGAACTAAGCATATTATTACATATCATTTTTCCAACCTTGGGGTACAAAAAAAAACCCCCCCACCAATAGGTTTTTCTTTTGAAACTGGTTGTAAAGGCCATAAATTACTTTTTTCTTTTTTTTTAGATAAGAGGTTAAAAAGTCAAGTAAACCCAGACAATTACTATAGTTTGAGTTAGGCAGATCTTCAAAAAGTTCATTCACTTCCTCACTCAGCTTTCCACTATTTACCCTACTGTCCTCTGCTGTGTTGCTGAGATGCAAAACTAAATATCTGATGCTTGCTTTCAATGACCTAAATACACAGGAGACCACCAACTAATTACAAAGAAAATAAAAACAAAGAATAAAAAGGTAGAATGGAGCAAATCAACACTGGAGAATAGGAGGGATGATTTCATTCTGTGATCCATAGGGTAGTAGGTGGAAGAACAATCAGTAAAATTTTTTACAGTTGCCAGTATTTTAATTTAGCAATGGAGAATAAAGTCAATCTAATGGTTGAAAAAACAAAAACTCCCAACATAAGAGAACTTTGGAAAGAACATTTTTATAAACATCAGCTTAAAAGGTGAACTCTTTTACTAAGAGGAAAAGAATAAATATATGCCCTGACCAGTTTGGCTCAGTGGCTAGAGCGTCGGCCTGTGGACTGAAGGGTCCCAAGTTCGATTCCGGTCAAGGGCATGTACCTTGGTTGCGGGAACATCCCCAGTAGGGGGTGTGCAGGAGGCAGCTGATGGATGTTTCTCTCTCATGGATGTTTCTAACTCTCTATCCCTCTCCCTTCCTCTCTGTAAAAAATCAAAAAAATATATTTAAAAAAAAGAATAAATATAAACTATATCTATCTTTCCAACTATCTCTACTTTGGGCCTGAAATTCAAATCCCTTTAATTCTGGGAAATATAAAAATGTTTTATAATCCTTTAAATTATTTATTCAAATGAACCACATTAAGAAAAATCTAAATATCACACCGAACTCGCAGCAAATGACATTCTAAACACCTTCTATGCTCTTGTACCTATGTTATATTATTTATATTCATTGTCTCTACCCTCACAAAAAAACTGTATGAAGTACTTTTATGACTTCCTCAAAAACAGACATCTCCAAATACAGACACTAGGATAAGAATTCAGAATTGTCTCACTTTTAGAAATACTTGATCACACATCTTAACCAATGACTGTTTCCCACTTTTAAGAAAATGTAAATGAAAAGGCCTTCCCTACTTTTAAAACTGTATATTTGCTTAAAGGCAACAGATCGACCAAATATACTATTTCCTTGCTCTCACAAAATCCCACCTAAAACAAGAATTAAAGGAATTAAAGCTATTAAAAACCGATGAAGAGAAAGAGAGCAGGAGATAGAATTCATCATATGAGATATTTCAACAAACTTTTAGAAGAAAGAAAACAGAGGAAGAAACATTTCTGGTTGCAGCAACTGGGGTGGGAGGAAAGGAAGAGGTGGGGAGATGAGGTGATACTGGCTCTAGAGATTAGAGGTCAGGGATGCTGCTAAACATCCTACAATTCATAGGGCTGCCTCCCACAAAAAAAGATTAATCTAGCCCAAAATATCAACAGCACCAGGTTGAAAAGCTCTGCTTTGGGCTAAAGAAGTGCTTAAAGGAGGCATATGGACGAGAAAGCAGTCAATTTGGTCCAAAGAACTCCAAACAGATTTGGAGCTTGGCTCACTTGTACTACAGAAGGCCAGAGTGAGGCAAGATACTAGAGATAAGAACATTAATTGAAAGTTGAAAAAAACGAAACAATGGACTCCACCCAACTCTATACAGATACCAGTCATTTATGTTTAGGTAAGAGAATGAAGGTTAATTCAATAACTAAACTGAATGGCCATGTAAAAGGACTTCCACCTTTCCATGGGTGACATCAGAAGCTTCCCCCCAAAAATAAACACCTCTCTACTTGATCACTCTGAGTGAAATCTACAAATGAGTACTCCCTTCTATGGAGTATGTTTCTGACCAGCATTTTAACTTAATGCATCTCTGTGAAATAATTAGACAACTGAGAAAATTAAGTAATATCTACAAAATGAAAGACAGAAAACAAAACAAAGAATTAGTAGGAAATAGGAAACAACATGTAGAAAAAAAAAGTCTCTGCAGAGGAAAGAACTCTAGTATCCCTAGGAAAAAATAAGAAGATACTATACCCATAAACTAAGAAAAGTATGCTATGAAAATGAACAGAGAATAAGAAAATGCTCTTAGAAAATAAAAGTGTGCCCCAATTTTTTAAATGGGGGTAGGGAGTAAGGAGAATGGGGAAATCAAGCAAGTCTCCTAGAGAGAATAAAAGTTATTTGAAAAATAAGAAAGGATATTTACTATACAATAAGTAGAAGTCCCAGTAAGAGCAAACAGAAAAAAAAAAAAAGAGAGAGAAGAAATGAACAAAAAAATTATCCACAGTTGAAAAATACAACTCTCTGGATCAGTGATGGCGAACCTTTTGAACTCGGCGTGTCAGCATTTTGAAAAACCCTAACTTAACTCTGGTGCTGTGTCACATATAGAAATTTTTTGATACTTGCAACCATAGTAAAACAGAGGTTTATATTTTTGATATTTATTTTATATATTTAAATGCCATTTAACAAAGAAAAATCAACCAAAAAAATGAGTTCGCGTGTCACCTCTGACACGTGTGTCATAGGTTCGCCATCACTGCTCTAGATTGAAGGAGCCCCTGTATATTGAGAAATATGAATAAAAACCTTATTGTTATAGTTAAAATTTCATAATTAAAGAGAATTATGGATATACATAGTAAGCTACACAAGTAAAAACAAGCCAATTACTAGCCTTGGGGAAAATAGCTTATACAAAAGAAAACAATTCCAATACACTACTTAGCTCTCAGTAAATAATATTTACCTGTCACAGAGAGGCAAACAACAATTACAAAATTTAACTAAAAGTAACTTAATCTCACCCTAGCCAGTTTGGCTCAGTAGCTAAAGCGTCAGCCTGTGGACTGAAAGGGCCTGGTTTCGATTCTGGTCAAGGGCATATGCCTGGGTTGTGGGCTCGATCCCCAGTAGGGGGCGTGCAGGAGGCAGCCAATCAATGATTCTCTCTCATTATTGATGTTTCTCTCTCTCCCTCTCCCTTTCTCTCTAAAGTCAATAAAAATATATTTTAAAAAAAGTAACAATCTCATTGGGATTACAAAAGGTAGGAATATGCATGTATATGGGTATATACATGTGTGAAGGGGTAGATCTAAAATTAAATTTTCATCTGTCATAATAAGAAGTGAGTAGGTAGCATTAAAAATGACTAAATGAAGAAGAAGCACTTTAAGACCTATAATAGTAACGATCAGAAGGAACTGCTAAAGTAGCCTCTGAGGAACAGAATTGTGGTTGGTAGGAAGGTGGGGGGAGGTGCAATAGAACACTTAGAAACCCTTAATTTAATTTTCACCTATTAATATAATCATGTATTACACTGATAAAAGACAACTTTAAGCACTTAGAAATTCTTTTTACTTTTAAATAAATAAATTTACAAGTATCTAACATTATTACCTGCTCCACACAGATTTGAAAGGTGGTGGATTTGCATCAGCATTACACTTGAGATTAACACCTTTTCTTCCTACAAACCAATTTCCATCATAGCCAGTTACTGAAACTTCAGGAGCATCTATAAAATAAATTCATGACAGAACAGATTATTTTTTGTTAATGATAAATACAACATACAATGGTAAAGCATAAACATAGTAAATTAAACTTTAGAAGAACAGAAATAAATTTTTCTTCTCTCAATGTACATAACCAATGTGGAAGACAGTACTCAATAAATATTAGTTGACCAAATGAGTAAATAAATGAACAATGAGTACCCAAACATTAAGCAACTACAAGCACTTACAGTTCTTGTTATTATAAACACTGAAAGTAAGAATATCCACAAATCTATAATCACCAAAAGCAAAATTTAAAGAACCCTATTATGAAAAATAACCCTATTATGAAAAATATAGGTATATATGAAAATACATTTCAGTTCTTAATTTGACAATGAGACATGGCATTTAAACCTATTTACCTAAAATCTATTATGGAAAAGAATAGGATGCTAACAGAGAAGACAAGAGGAAGGGCTTAATTTAGATCGGGGATGAGGTTGGGGATGTCATGAAAGACTTCTGTAAGGAACTAATATAAGGTACAGGGACCCTCCATGTTTCTGTGAACGACATAGTAAATTATATGAATAGTACATGGTCAGATGGGAGGTTAGAGAGAGATTATATTAGTCTGTAACTATGCCAGAAAAGCTTGACCTACTATCAAGCAAGGTTTATAAAAAGGTAGTAAAAAATTAAACTTTCACTAAGGTACAATTACTTTAGAATTCTAAAAAAGAAATGCCTGCCTCTTATACATTCCAAGAATTAACAAACATTTTTGAAACTTAAAATTGGTATTAAAAATGTTGCTGAAAGAATAGTATAGATATCTGTGAGTTTTATTTTAAAAGGAGGGGAGATATATTAACGTATCCCCAAAGAATACCTCCAGATTTTGAGAGATGAATTTTAGATATTAGATTATATCTTCTTAAACTTTGTTCACATGTTTTATGGTCCCTATTAAGAGGAAAAAGCCATAAGCACTCTAACAACATTTTAGGAGCATGGTAATAAATCTAAATAATAATTACAATATCTTATACTAGAAAAAATGTATTTATATATTTAGGATTGCATTCAAGCAAACAAAAAATAATATACATAATACAAATGGAAGAAAATGTCAGTAATGATTAGATACAGGAAAAGAAAATATATCTAAGAAAATATCAATAGTGCTTACAATTAACATCTGCATTTTACAAGAAAAAGGAAAAAGTTAAGAGTCTGAAAGTAAGGTAAGAAAGAGGGGAAACTTTAATTGGATTCTCCTCAGAAGTAAGGAGACAACAAGGTACTCATATTGAAGAATACAATGGTAATAACATTCACATAGGTATCTTCTCAAGTTTAATCCTATAAATATTTTTTAAAAATCTTTAGAATTAGCTTTAGAAACCATTACACCAAGTCTAACTAATTTTAAATTCCATGCATTACATAAAAACCCCCACAAAAATCAGAACTTCATAAACCTATCTACATTTATGATCTGTACAATGATGGAAATGACAGTAGAACCTAAAAGAATTTATTTCTAATATGCTTAATTTTCACTTTCTTTGCCCTTATTGATATGCACCATCAGTTTTTCTCTTGCTCAACTTTTAAAATGCTTTGCAAAAATATAAAGGGAAAAGTATACACACATACAAACATAAACACAACAGAGTATACCATAACAAAAAAATACAAGGTAGGCCAACTTTAAACTTATTTATAATGATTATTATCCCAATGATGTGTCAAAATATTATTTTACCTATATGAGAATCTTACACAATCAATAAAATTAGGTTCGAATACTGAAAGAATATAGATTTTTCAAAATAATTTAAATGCATTTAAGAAGTAAAAGATTTTTGCTGAGAAAAGAGAAAACATTCTGGGTGGCATCAATAAAACTGAATAACAGCTAAAATAATTGGACTGGCGAAGTAGTTTGTCTCTAAGTACTGTACATTTTGAAGTATAAATTTCCACAATTTGCTTAAGTCCACCTTATTTTTAAGGTCTAAAAAAGGATAAAGCTAAATAATTCTAAGTTAGAGAATATCTTTAATATCATTGTCCATCTTTACAAACTGATAAAAACTGTTCTGATTAAATGAAATTTCCACAAAAATATTTTTAAATTAAGGGGGAAAAATGTCAGTAAGGAAAAGCTGTAAGAATTTCTGAATATTAAATATTAAAATTAAACACAGTTTGATACAGAATAATTTTAAAGGAAGAAAATGAAAACAAAATGCATCACATGTTTAAAAAGCAAATGTTACCATATACTTACATTGTATATCTAATATGAAAGAATATCGGATGTCCTTTTCCAAGGCTGGATGTTTTACAACACAAGTAATTCGCCTTCCTCGAGCAAATCTGGTTGGAAACAGCTTGTATTGGCTGACAATTGTAGCTGTTTCATTTGGAAAGGAAGTTGTAGTGGATTCCATTTCACCAAGATCACCTTCCCAGTTAATATGTGCAACTGGTTTTCCAGTTGCTGCAATACAAATGGCTGCTACTGTTTCGTTTCCTCCATCAATTAAAGAATCTGGCCCTTTTATCAAGCTCACAGTGGGTTCAACTGTTCAAATTAAAAAAAAAATTACATGTCAATTAAGAATATATTTATATCCTTCCAAGCCACATCTAGACATATTTCATAAATTTAGGAGTAACTGCATATAACGTATAGACACACACTTTTACGGTAAGTCTTGGAACAAAAGATGATCACGAGCCAGGGGAAATAAGCAGCCAAGATTTTATAGAAACACTACAAAGATGGCTCTCCTAGTGACAGATGAGTCCTTCTCAAGATCAGCATGTACAAAAATTATTGTGAAATGGACCATAATTTCCACTATGAAATTAAAGGTATTATTACTCTGAAAGGAAAAAAAGTAGTTCTACTACTTAATGATTCATTTGTGCAGCAAAAATATATAAAGCATATTTAAAAGTAAAATATAAGTATAGAACTGACACTGTTAAAACAGAATATCACTAATATTTATTCACTGGAATGTGCATGCCACCTATTTTTCCCCCGGTATAAGTAACCTTAATGTTAGACACTTTCTATCAAAGGCCTTCAATCATTTTCTGTATCTCCCTTAAAATCTTTTATCTGATAAACACTACTTACCCAGATGATCCCTAATTTTCTCCAACTTTGATATAAGGCTTGACTCTACATTTTCTAACCATCTGCCTGGTATTTTTTGCCTATATATTTTCAAACTCAAAAAAACAAATGTTGAACTATTTATCATCTTGCTACCAATCACTAACACCTGTTTTTCAAAGAAATTCCCATTTAAATTAATGGTAACATAATTTACTCAATCACCAAGGTTCAAGACCTGTTATTTTTCAAACCTCCCTTATTTCTTATATTCAGCCAGTTACAAAGATCTGCTAGTTATTCCTTTATAATAGCTCCCTTCTTCAGTCAAGTGACAGAAATCAGTAAATGAATTTCAAGCCCTCACAACCTCATGGCTGCAGCATTATAATTTCAGGACCTCTTCATTTTAATTAATCAAAAACACCAGACTGATGATCCTGAATCACAACTTTTATCACATTACTACCTAAATCAGGTCTAAGTCATCCCTCTAAGCAAGGTGAGAAGGTGGTCAAAGCAGTGTTTCTCAAACTTTACTGTGCACCCAAATCATTTAGGGATCCTGATAAAATGTAGATTTATCACTCAATAAGTTTGATAGGTAACTGAAATTCTGTATTTTAACAAGCTCCAAAGTGATATCAATGCTGCATAGTTCATGAACCACACTTGAAAACAGCAAGAGCCTGAGAATAGAAGGGAGGTGAGAAGCGGCACAACATTGTATACTAAGTTCAAATTTCTAGTAATATACAGATCAAATTCCCCATCCTAACATTCAAGTTACTTTAATGTGGTTCTACTCTACCTTTCTAGCCTTTAATTCTTTGAACAATCAAGAAATTATTCAATGTTTCCACTAATGGGGGTTCTCAACAGTGTGTGTTCTCCTGCTCTCCCCCTCTCCCCAAAGGACACTTGGCAATGTCTGGTGATATTCTAAGTTAGCACAACTGAGGAACTGCTACTAGCATCTAGTGGGAAAAGCCATTAAGGCTGCTAACCAGTCTACAATGACAGGATAGCACAGCCCAACAAATTCCAGGCCCAAATTTCAACAATGCTGACTTTGAAGAAATTCTGCCCTAGTGTGTATTGTTTTTTACCTGCCTCTGTTAGTTCATTCCCTATACGTCTTTCCTTTTTGCCTACCCCAACCTACCCACCATTCAAGAACTGGCAACTATTTTTTACACAAAACATTTCTAAACTGACAAGTTCACCAGTCCATTCCTATATCTTTCTTAAATAACATTAACGTATGAGACTGCTATTAACTAGGGACTGTTACATGCTTGAGGGATATCATGTTAGATTTTAAAGTGCAAAGTTGTAGCCCACCACATGTTTACAGTGGGGGAAAAATATAATGAACAGTATGGTAACTGCTACAATATAGTCACGCTCTAGATACAATGGCAAAAGAATAAAAATCATCAAATTGTGGAGGGAGTAGATCTTTCAAGAATGGCTTCCAAAAGAATGTGTTTTGATGGACAGTGGTTAAATAGAAGAATGTAGGAGGAGAGAGATAGAAGGAAAAACAAGGCAATCAAGGCAGAATGACAAACACATAAAAACGTGGACAGGTGTTAAAAGAACTACAAATAGTTTACTAGGATTATAAAATTTGAGTTCTGCGAGAGAAACAGAAAGGAATGAAATAGGTGAAGTTCAAGAAGTAAGCATGGGTAAAATTATGATTAGTCTTATACTGTAAACAGTCTTGAGTTTTAAAGCACTGAGTACTGCATTAATTTAGGAGAAATTCCTAAAGTTTAAAGCAAAAATAAATTATTCCCACTTTAACTCGGTTCATATAGATTTGCGGTGGAGTGCGGGAAACGTGTAAACTCGGGCCGATTGTAACTGCGTATTACCAAATCTGCGAGAGAAACAGAAAGGAATGAAATAGGTGAAGTTCAAGAAGTAAGCATGGGTAAAATTATGATTAGTCTTATACTGTAAACAGTCTTGAGTTTTAAAGCACTGAGTACTGCATTAATTTAGGAGAAATTCCTAAAGTTTAAAGCAAAAATAAATTATTCCCACCAGCTCTCTCTTCCATATACAAACTATTATGTTCTTGACACTGAACTTAATATGGCCTGTACTTGATTTTTCAGATATTTATGCCTTGCCTTCAAATCAAAATATTTCTCAAAAATAGCAATTTTCATAAATGTAAGTTATATTTTCTCACAACTCGTTAGGATAGTGTCTTAAACATATGTTTCTCAAAATTTTTATTTTATTTATATTTTTGCATACTATCAATATAAAAATCTATATATAGAGAGGTAATATGCTAATTGGTCCTAATGGTGTCCCAGTCACGACTATTCAACAGGCTGCGTGCGCACAGGAACTGGTGGGCAGGGACTTGCGCCACTGAGACATGAGGCTGCTGCCGGGGGCAGCCCCCCCCACCGGCAGAGGCACGCTCAGGCCCACTGTACCGCCTGGCCTGGAGGGGGGCGTCAGGACGGGGGCGGGGCGTCGGCAGAGAGCTCTCAGCACTCCTACCTGGGGTCTGAAGGCATGAGAGGAAGAGAGAGCAGATAGGCAGTTAGGGGAATCAGGCCAGGAAAGAAGAGCAGTTAGGCAGCTAGGAGGATCAGGCCAGGAGGGGAGAGCAAATAGGCAGTTAGGGGGATCAGGCCAGGAGGGGAGAGCAGTTAGGAGGATCAGGCTGGCAGGAGAGAGCAGTTAGGCAGTTAGGGGAAGCAGGCCAGGAAGGGAGAGCAGTTAGGGCCATCTGGCTGGCCAGGGAGCAGTTAGGGGCATCAGGCAGGTAGGAAAGCAGTTAGGGACATTGGGCAGGCAGGCGAGCGCTTAGGAGCCAGTGGTTCTGGATTGTGAGAGGGATCCCAGATTGGAGAAGGTGCAGGCCAGGCTGAGCGACCCCCCCTCCCCCCGCCCATGCATGAATCTCGTGCACCAGGCCTCTAGTATATATATAACAAATTTGGACCAAATTGTTTTCCTGCATTCAAGAGACCCTAAAATTACTGCATTAACCCCTAGAGTGCCGGGAGCGTGATAGCGCTCCTCCTGTCTTTCGCCAAAAGTGCCAGGAACGCTATCACGCTCCTCCTGCAGTGTCACTATTATATGTTTTGTTCAAATTTTTTTTCCTACTAGTATTTTATAATACAATCTGCAAACAATATATGTCAAAGATGAAAACAAATTTAGTAAAGGTTTCCTTAAGTTTTTGAATATGTAACTTCATTTACTTGCGATTCATAATTTTTTTCTAAACTGCTGTAAAATCAGCAAAAATACCTTGGCAATTTTAGCATAGTTCCTAGGATATTGGTTGGCACTCAAAGGGTTAAATGTTAGGGGCTATGTACTTATTTGTTTCTCTGAAAGCAGACACTGAGACCAAGTGAGGAGTACTAAAGGCTTATTGGGGAGTAACATCTGGGAGAAAAGTAAAGAAAAAGTATGGAGTAGGGGGAGCTATCAGCAGACCTGACAAAATCCTTGACAGGTAAATAGGCAGATCTGAAGCAGAGACTGCCCCACTAAAGGAGTCCCACTTTGGGTGGAAATGTCTAAGGTACTGTAACTCCTTAATCTTTATTCTATTATTCAAATGTACTCACCAGCATTTTCAAATTGGTTTATCTTTCACTGCAAGTGGCTATCTTAATGCTAATACATTAGCTCATTCTAAATTACACAATAAACTTTAACAGTTATCAGAGAGAAAAGATCTTTCATTAGGAACAATAGCCCAGGATTCAAATAGCTATGCAAATCCATGATAGCAGAAATAAAATTTTATTTGAAATACAAACCTGAGGTGTCAATGGCTCCAAGAAGAAAGTCCTTTTAAAAAATGGAAAAGCTATTTAAAGGTTTTAATTTAATTACAAGGTGAAAACTTGAAAGAAAATAAGTATGACAAAGAGCCCTGACTGGTGTGGCTCAATTGGTTGAGCCTCATCCCATGCACCAAAAGATCGTCTCTATGATTCACAGTTACAGATTTGGTCCCCAGGTGGAGTGCTTACAGGAGGCAACCGATCAATGTTTCTCTCTCACATTGATGTTTATTTCTCTTCCTCTGTGTCTTCCTTCCTCTCTAAAATCAATAAAAACATATATACACATATATGCATATATACACATATATATGCATATATATACATATATGTGTGTGTGTGTGTGTGTG